CAACCAACCAAAGGGTACAACCTGTAAGCCTGCCCCCTGGTCATCAGCACACAGCTCCTCTCCCTTTCTGGGTCTACAGTCCCCAGTTGCTCCAGCCGCTCCATCTCTCCATGTCATCATCTCTGCCTCCATCTCTGGCGTCACTGTTTCTCTGGGTAGGGTCCTACACTTCACTCTTCTCCCTTGATGGTCCCAGGTACCTATGCTCCTAGACTGCAAAGTCAACCACTCCCATCCTTTTGCTACAAAACGTCTACCTTTACATTTCCAACCCTCAAAATCAGTCCTGATAACAATTATTCACTGTTGTACCACATGAGTGCTGTCCCCATCACCTTTCATCAGCCCCACCCAGACAGATTGGATACTGCTCAGTGGAGATTCTACCTCCCTCCGCGCCCTCTGGATCTAGACTCCCTCTTGAAAGCTTGTAAGCCAGTCACTTCTTGCCTTTTAGCCCCCCCATTTTGGGTAGCCAATGTCCAAATTGCCCATCCCTGTCTACCCAGTGTATTGAGGGGGTGGGAATGATCCTCGCTGTAAAGATTTGTTCCCTCTTTTGAGCTACTGCATCCATAGGTATAGGTCAAGTTAATCAAATTGTATAATATTACTCTTTTTTTCTTCTTTCTTCTTCTAGTTGAGCTCTGATCATCTAGCCATTGAAGCCAGGACAAGTGGGTATTAGCTGCAAGTGTGGGTGTTCTTATGCATATGCCCTCTCTTATCAGTTGGACGCTTTACTCTCCACTTTAGTCCTCTGTGGCTATGTCACTGACTCTGGGCCCAGGAGTGCCCAGCTCTTGCCATACTGCTGTCCAACCAGGTCTCCACCCGGGTTCACAGGAGTCTATTGAACATGGTAGGACTTAGTTAGCAGCTTCATTGCTGTTTTCCCTCACTTACCCTTATCAGTGACCAAAGTGGTCACCAGTCAGAGCACATGTCTGCTTGTGTATTCCCATTGAGTCTTAGTCTTGGAACGGGGTTTGCCCTGAGGGTACCCAACCACTTCCTTGATGTCATCTGGGTGGGCAACTTGCTTGTTCTTGAAGTAGTCACTTGGACTGCTGTTTTGTATTTTTCTTGTCGGTCTTTCTTTCAAAAAGTTTCTGTTCTTCTAGCCGCTCCAGTCTGCCTCAATCTTTGCTGTTGCCACTTTTCTGGTTAGGATCCCTTGCTCCTCTCATACTCTTCCCTCTTGATGGTGCTAGGGTGGACAGATTTACTGCTCCCCCTCTTTTAGTTACACCTCTTTTACATATATAGTTGTGACAATAGCAGTTAGTCATGATAATAATTACTCTGAGTCAAAAAAATTCTATCTCCATTCTCCCCCATCCCTTTTCACCAGACCCATGTGGACAAGAGGAAAACTATTCATTGGGGATTCTACCTTACCCCTCTTACTCTGAACTAAGCATGCTAATGAAAGCTTGTAAGCCAGACACTTTTTGGTAGCCAGTGTCTAAGTTGCCCATCCTATCAACCCAGTGTACTGAGAGGGCAAGCTTGATCCTTGATATGAAGAATCCTTCCTGTTTGGTTGGAATTTTGGGCAACTTCATCCATAAGCAAAGGTCCAGTTCATCAAATTGTAGCAATTTATGCTTGCTTCCTGTATCAGACTTCTTTATCTTCATCTGGTCGAGTTATGAGCAGCAAGACCTGGGAAACATTTTTGAGTGAAGTAAACCTAGGATATGCTAAGGACATGTGTAAATTTGGTGTCTTCTGCATTGATGTTTCTAATATCCTGTATTTCCATCTTCCATTTTTGTTTTTGCTGTTTATACATTGCAGTCTCTTCCAGATTAAGACTGATTTTCTCCAGGAAGCCTTCACTAGTAGTTTTAGTTTCTGACTTTTGTAAAAATTCCACATTATTTATACTTAAATTTTATAGTCTAAGTTTTCCTGCAAAAACTGTGCAGTGGAAGAACAAACAAGATGGCGGATTGGGTGGAAGTGCTGTGAGGAGCTCCGTCAGCAGCAACATAGAATACCGGACCAAGCAGGCTCGGGATGGTCCCTGAACTCTGAACCACATATAAAGGAATATTTAGAAGGATGGAAGGCTAACAGCCAGTGGAATTTGTAGCAGAAGCAAGTATTCAGTGCTTACTAATCCAAGGTGCTCAGCTTCTCCCTGAGCAGGCATCTGGGGCAAGACTGAATTGGAAGAGGATCAGAGCAGCCCCGACACCTGACAGAACCGTGGAGATAAAGGTGTGGACATTCTTTTTTTTTTTTTTTTTGTATCTGTTCATTGGTCTCTTGCTGTCTGCGCACCTCCATTCTGGTGACTAGATGGGGTGCCTGAGTAAGTGGATACTCCACCCCCACTATCAGAGGATTTTATTACGTATGTGCACAGATCTCCTCAAAATTTAAAGGGACAGTTTCCACTTAAACCAAATGGTAGTGCAAAACAGCCACAGCCGGCCCTGAACTTTTTATCACTAGGAAAAAGGCCTGAACGGGGGTTGTGGAGTGGGAAAGGCAGACTAAAAAGGAAACAGACTGAAAATTAAATCCTGAGTTACGTCACAATGAACAACAGTGGCATCTTGGAGTTTCTCAGAAAGAAGAGTGAAAAAAAGGAAGCCTGCTACCTGGAGGCAATCAGAAAGCATTAAAAAAAAATACCAAAACACATACTCATCTAAGTATTAAGGCCACAGCTAACTACTGAATATGCCTCCAAAACAGAAACAGATGACCGTATCAGCACACATCCAGAAACAAGATAAAGTGACTGAGACAAATGAGCTGGAGGTAGATCTGCACTGCATACTGGAAGGAGGGCAGGCTTTGGAAATGCCTGAGAAGGAATTCATAAAAATTATTATAAAATGCATCAAAACACTTTACAGTGGAGTTGAGAAAAGGAAGTCAGGAAAGCACTACAGGAACAATCAAATTAGATAGATACATCATTGGAAACAATTGAAAACCTACAGAAAGAGGTCAAAACAATTAATAATAGAATATCTGAAATGGAAAATACACTGAAAGGGCAAAGGAGTAGAATTGAAAAGATGGAAGCCAGAACTAGAGAGCTGGAAGATAAATCTCTCAATACTACTAAGATAGAAGAATAAGCAGAAAAAAATGATTTAAAAAATCTGAAGAAGATCTAAATTTCATGTTGGACAACATGAAGAGAATAACTTAAGAATTATTGGCATTTGGAACAGGAAGAGTCACACAAGTCCACAGAGGAGATGCTGAAAGAAAATTTCCCTGACATCCTGAAAAGTAAAAAGAAGCTCAGCGAACCCCAGGAAGGATAGACCGTAAAAGAAAATCACCAGGACATATAATAAACTCTCCAAAATCAAAGATAAGTACTGAATCCTGAAGCTAGCTAGAGAAAAGAGAAGTGTAACATACAAAGGCAAGCAAATCAGATTAAGCTCGGATCTCTCAACAGAAACCATGCAGGCGAGAAGGCAATGGGGAGACATATATAAAACCCTGAAAGAAAAAACTTCCAACCAAGAATCCTGATTATATATTCCTGAGTGTTTTTATGTACATCAAAAAACTAGCAACAGCAACAGAGGGAATAGAAGCAAATACTGTTGAAATTATGATACATGGGGAGGGGATTGTAATCATTGCAGTGAAACCGATGTTCTTCCAAGCAAACTATCACTCAGTTCACAGTACAAGCTTTTTGGAAACAACAACAAAAACTAAGCAAAACAAAAAGTAAATAAAAGTTCAAAAAAAACAAAACCCCAAAAAAATAACATGCAGAGGCCATATTTGACTTGTATTGGCTTCCCAAGCGGGAAGAAGAATCAAATTCAAAATCAACCCAAGGCTATGAAGTTGAGGTCAGACATGCTTCCACCCTACAACCTTCTTTACCCTATTCTGACACTAACCATTCCTCCCACAGCTCTCTCTTCTTCACATCTGAGTTCTATAATCCATTGCAGTGGCCACACAGAACTCATAACAATACTCACTTCATTACGAGCTTTATTAGGGAAGTGAATAAGTTACAATTCAGGATCAGAACCAACTCAAGACGCAGCAATTTTCCAATCAGAAATGCTTCTTCTGTGCCATGCTGCAGACATGCCTCACTCATGTCTTTAGCTTCCCAACCATATGTTTCCTTGGCCTCTGCCCTTCTTGGGCAATTGTTACAGAGCTCTTAGTCCATTTGTGAATGCCCAAAGGGCACATTCTGCAAGCCGGTCTTCTGTCCATAGACACTCAGCTTTACTCAGCTGCCTGCTCTGTCTCTCCATACCACCGCTTCTGCTGTTGTCTGTGCTGTCTCTGTTTTCCTAGGTAAGGATCCTGTGCTCCACTTTTCTTCTTCCTTCTTGATGGCCCTGGGATTGTGTGTTCCTGATTCTGAGATGGCTCCTTTTAAACCTAGCAGGATGGCAAAACTAACCAGTCCCAGTTTTAAGAGTCCTGTATACCTTATTCTCATGTTCCCACACAATCACTGGAGTCCTGGTGTAGCGCTGTGGGACAGTGCATCAGACTGAAAAGTCATTTGAACTGCAAGGTCAGTGGTTCAAGCTCACCAGCTGCTCCTTGGAAACCTATACAGGGTTGCTATGGGTTGGAACCAATTCAACAGCACTTAACAACAATAACAACAGCCCAATCACTTGGTCGAAAGTTAGAAGACATTGCATAGAAAAATTGTATCAAGTAATTCAAGGTACCACAAAAGATAATTTTCTTTGCAATTATACCATTAGCTCTTTTAAAGTAGGGACTTTAAATTGAGACGAGAAACCAAAAATTCTTGCATACAAATTATAAAGTCATTCTTGTTGGTTGATAGGTAGCAAAGCACATATAAGTCACAAATTCTTTTTGGCCTTAAATGATTATTGGAACCTCCAATAGCCATTTGCAAGTAATGCTTTTTCTAAGATATATAACTTATTTAACATTTTGTGTTCCAATTTCGATGATCTTGTAAGCTGCATATTAATCAATTTATGTTCTTTTCATTTCAGAAAAAAGCCAAAGGACAAGAGCTATTTGATCAGATTATGTACCACTTGGACCTGATTGAAAGTGACTATTTTGGACTGAGATTCATGGATTCAGCACAAGTAGCAGTGAGTAACTGGCTTTTGGAGGTTCCATTATGATGGTGGTGATGGTGGTAATGGTTATGTGCTGTGGAGTCGGTTCCAACTTACAGCAATCCTGTACAGGGTTTCTGAGGCTGTGAGTCTTTTATAGGAGCAGAAAACCTCATCTTTCTATCATGGAACAACTGGTAGTATCAAACTGCTGACCTTGAGGTTAGCAGCCTGACCTTAACCACTCTGCTACCAGAACTCCTTAATATGAGCATAGAAATCGAATAGTTCAGATGATAAATGAAGTGCTAAGCTCTGAATTCCGAAAGTATTCAATAATAAATTGGTGATGCTGTATTTTTGTTTGAATTACATGTACCTTCTATGTTCATTTCCTACAGCAACATGTTAAAAAAAAAAGTTGCCTTTGTGGCACCTATGAAAATATCTTCTTGGGAAGGGAGTGGTTGGCAAATAAATGTAGAAGGCACGTATTCTTTAATCATTGGGATTGGTGATTTTTCAAGCTGGAAGTTACTCATATATTTTGCTTCAGGAAATTATATATGGATATATTGCATACGCTTATGAGGGAGCTTGATAAAATTCCATTATCTTTTCATTCCATTTTTCCATGAACTTTTAAATGCCCCCTTTTATTTATAGTAGACAGAAATTGAAGCCAGGGGAAATTTATTACCAAAACTTTTGGGGTAAAGGTAGTAGTAGCAGGGAAGTATTATGGAGAGGAGAAGCAGTTCATGAAGCCTTGTTTTCCGGGGCTCTGTGAAAATTGTTGTTTATTTGTACATGTAATTACACAGTTATTTCAGTGTGTGGATCTACAGAATAATATACAAGGGGGGGGGCTTCAAAAATTTCATTACCTTTCCATTCTATTTTTCCATGTACTTTTTGAGGCCTCCTCATATTGAATAAAATTCTAAAATTCAAGAATTTTTTTTTTGTAATTAATAAATTAGCTGAAATATCTTTGTAGGATACTATCCTAGTTCTCTAGTGCTGCTATAAGAGAAATACCAAAACGGGTGACTTTAACAAATGGAAATTTAATGTCTTTTACATGGTGGTGGTGTTTGTTAAAGTGCCCTCGAGTCAGTTCCGACTCATAGTAACTAGCAGACTCTGTTCTGCATTTGGTACAGGCAGCCCCAACTGGCACCCTTAACTGTAGTCTCACTCCATAGCCAACTTGGTGAAGATTGTGATCCCAGCCTTTGACCTCCAGGAGGCTTTGGGCCACCCTTTGAAACCAAGAAAACTTTGCTTCCTGTGCTCCTGCCAGCAATTTTGCTCATCCCTGAATTGTTCCAGGGATGATTTTTTATTTTTATTTTAGAGAGCAACAGATGTTACTCATTTGGATTGTTTCTCTCTTGTAGAATTTCAAAAGGCAGGCAGCATTTTATCCTTTCATTTTCCCTCTTCCCCCATTAGTCTCAGCTGATGGGTATTCTGCTGTGGTAGTTGGTTAGATCCATCAGTCATCGGCTTAATGTCTTTAAAAGACTGTGTAGCCATGTTCTTGGTGGATATTCTAGGAAACATGTCTGTGAAACAGTGGTGGTGAGGGCATCATCTGACTTCCTCTGGCTTTTCTCTAGGGGATGGAGAATCAAAGACCACATCTGCCCAAGGCTGATAATTCCTGTAAAGCTTCGGTCATCATGCCTCCACCTCTCATCTTCCTTACCAGTTCTGCTTCCAACCATTTAGCCCACAGCACTCAAGCTCAGCTGGGTTTGATAATTGGCCACACAGAACTCAGACACCATATCCACTGTTAGGGGATTTATAAGGGAAGTTAACAAATTGTAATTCAGGGTCAGAAGGGCTAAGGGCATAGTGCTTTTTGTCAGGACAGCAGGCAGTCCTCTCTCTCTCTGGCACTTGGCCCATTGGCCTGGCCTTTGCCCTGCTGATAAATGCCAAGAGTCACATCACTCTACTATAAGCCTCAGTCTAATAGCGTAGTGGTTATGAATTGGGCTGGATCAAACGACTTTTTCCTGATGGGTCTGGGCAAGAGACAACGGTATGATTCCATTGTGAGTGATTTTTAGCAGGGCTAATTGTGATTGTAAAACCTTGGAACTTTAACGTGGATATAAAATGAGCCATCTGAGAAGCAACAGGAGTGGATCTCACGACCATTACAGAAGAAGAGCCAGGAGTAGAGGACATAAAACTTTAACAGTAGCTGAGTAGCAGAATGGCAGAGAAACAGTAACAGAACTAAATGTTAGAGCACCACACGGAGCGGTGGGCTTTCCAGTTCACAGCGTGGGTAAAGTTGAATGCTTTTGATCAGAAAGTTTACTTGCATAGTAGGGAACCTCCCAACACTTAACTGGAGGGAAGCTAAGTTTTCTGACTGGAGTTAGAGCCTAGTGCCTTTGTTCTTGTTAAGTACAGTGGAGTCGGTTCCGACTCGTAGTGGTCCTGTACAGGGTTCTCAAGGCTGTAAATCTTTACAGGAACAGAAAGCACATTAAACATCTTTCTCATATTCTCTGCTTTCAGCCAAAATCCATCTGACATGAGCAATGATATCCCTCATTTCACATCCTCTTCTGAATCTAGCTTGAAGCTCTGGAATTTCTGTATTACCGTTAATAAAATTTTACTCACATGGGATATCAAATATATTGTCCAATGACTTCCGCATTATGTTGGATCACCTCTCTTTGGAGGGGGTACAAATACAGATCTCTTCCAATCAATTTGTCAGATAGTTGTTTCCAAATTTCTTGGCAAAGATGAGTGAGTGACTCCAGTGCCACCTCACTTTCTTGAAAGATTTCAATTTTTTTTTTCCTTTATAATGTTTTAATGTGAATTATGTGATAGTTTACATGGGAGAACGTTAGTTTTACATTCATCCTATCATATATTGTTTCATTGCCATGGTTACAATCCCCTCCATGCATCATCAACCAACCAAAGGGTATACACTGCAAGCCTGCCCCCCGGTCGTCAGCACACAGCCCCTCTCCCTCTCTGTGTCTAAAGTCTCCAGCTGCTCCATCTCTCCACGTCATTGTCTCTGCCTCCATCTCAGGCATCACTGCTTCTCTGGGTAGGGTCCCACTCTCCGCTCTTCTCCCTTAATGGCCCCAGGGACCTCCACTCCTAGACTGAAAAGTTAATCACTCCCCTCCTTGCTATAAAATGTCTACCGTTGCATTTCCAACCCTCACAATCAGTCCTGATAACAATTACTCACTATTGTATCACAAGAGACCTATCCGCATTTCATTTCATCTCATCAGCTCCGCCTAGACAGATTAAATACTGCTCAGTGGAGATTCTACCTTCCTCCATACCCTCTGGATCTAGGTAAAATTTTCAATTTTTATTCCATCAATTCCTGATGCCTTGTTCTTTGCCAACTCCTTCAATGCACCCTGGACTTCCTCCTTCAGTATCATTGGCTCTTGATCATATGCTACCTCTTGAAATGATTGAACATCAACCATTTCCTTTTGGTGCAGTGACTGGGTATACCTTCCATCTTCTTTTGATGCTTTCTGCATCATTCAGTAATTTGCCCAGAGAATCTTTCATTAATTAAAGTTGAGGCTTGAATTTTTTTCTTCAGTTCCCTCAGCTTGAGAAATGCTGAGCAAGTTCTTCTCTTTTGGTTTTCTAACTCCTGATCCTCGCACATTTCATTGTAATATTTGACTTTGTCTTCTCCAGCTGACCTTTGAAATTTTCTGTTCAGTTCTTGTACCTCCTCATTTCTTCCATTTGCTTTAACATCTTTACACTAGAGAGCAAGTTTCAGAGTCTCTTCTGACAACCATTTTGACCTTTTCCTTCTTTCTTGTCTTCTTAATGACCTTTTGAGAGCAACATGTGTTACTCTCTTAAAAAAAAAAAAAACTATCCCTGGAACAGTTCAGGTATGAGCAAAATTGTTGTACTGAGTAGGTGTTGCATGCTGTTTGTCATCAGTCCAGTTGTGCAGGAGTGGTGGTTGCTTTTGCCCAGTGCGTGGGCTTAAAGTGTTTTGGGTATGGCTGGGTAGGGTTGCTGGATTGCTGGAGGAAAACATGAAAGGAGAGGCGGGGGGCTGAGTTGAAGAGAGAAAAAAACAAAACAGCACACATAAAAGACATTCCAAAATGAAGGAAAGTGGGGGAATACCTAAGAAAAAGGAAAACTGAGGGAAAAAAACCCACAAACGTGAAGTGTCATGATATTGTTTAAGTGCTAGGTGCCAAGCATGCTGTGGTGGGAATGTACCGCTTACGCTGAGAACATGGGTTGTCAGGAGCAGGCAATAAATATTAAAGGGAAGGCGATGGGAGAAAAAAAGAAAAGAAAAAAGCAAGCAGGAATTTGCTGAAGAGGAAAAAAAAACTGAAAACAAAGAAAAATAAAGAGAAAGGAAAAGACTGGCATATGTGTCAAACGCATTTGCAGTGGGAATATTGAACGCCCTCTGTGATAGTACCTCAGCCCACGGAGGGATGGGTTGGCCATTGTTGACTACTAGGGGCTTGGCTGCACTCACGCAGTGGGATAAAAAAAGAAAGAAAGAAAAACAGGGCACGAGAGTAGAACTCAGATGGGAAAAAGAAAAGTAGAAGACCAGTTTGTGCACTGCTGACTCAGGAAGGATATGAGTAGGTATTCTAATGAAGTCCTGTGGGGTGATGGCTTGACAGGATCAGAAAAAATACAAAAAGGACAGGGAGAAGGATGAAAAAGAAAAGAAGAAAGGTTAGGATGGAGTAGAAAAGGAAAAAAATAAAAAGATAAAAAATGGCAGAGCACTGATGGTGACGTGGTGGTGACCAACTGCTGGTGGACAGAATTGGCTGGGAACATTCCTTTGGTCATTAGGAAGTTTTGAAATGTAAGGGTGTAGATCATACGTCTCTGTTGCCATTCACCAGTGTGGGTGTCTTGGGCAAGCAGAGCTGATTATCTGGTTCCTGCAAAGTGGCAGCATCGGTGGACTCAAGCATGACAACAGTTGGTAGGATAGCCCAGTGAGTGTT